AAAAAAAAAAAAAGAAGAAAAGAAACTAAAAAGTATTTTAATTAATAAAAGTATTTTAAAATTTGATTATACTTAGCATAAAAATACTTTTTGTTAAATAATTATTCGTATTAGAAATAAAATAATAACGTTAACACTTTAATGGTCGCATGTGTAAGCAGTCAAACGTCGATAATATTTTTGAAGAATTAATTTAAACAAAAAAAAAACAAAAAACATTATTGTAATTCAAGAAAAAATTAACATAAAACAAAAAACAACAATTTAACAACAACAAAATTAATTTTCATATATGAAGTTATAAATAAAATCTAACGGCCAATGTTATGACTATCACAAACACACACACACACACACACACATATGTTATATGAGCGGCCATATTAAAGTGTTAATAATTATTAACACTTAAATTTCATCTTTTTTTTTTATTTTAAATTATTTTGGTTTTTTTAATATATTTATTTTTTTCACTTTTAATTAAATTTAATTTAAAATTAATTTAATTAATTTTTAATTTAATTTATTTTTTAATATATTTATATTTTTAATTTAATTTAATTTAAAATCAATTTAATTAATTTTTAATTTAATTTATTTTTTAATATATTTATATTTTTAATTAAATTTAATTAAATTAAAACGAATTTAATTAATTTTTTTTTAATAAATTTATTTTTTTAATTTTTAATTAAATTTAATTTAAAATTAAATTACAAATAAAATATATAAACAAATTACTAATCGTTGTTTTTCTTTTTGTTTTTCGTTTGTTAACAGGACACAGTCATCGTCTAAACGATCGAGAAAAAAATAAGAAAAAGTAGGAAGTGATAGAAAGACAGAGAAGAAACCAAGTAAAGAAAAAAAAAAACACAAAAAAGAGAAGAAAAAGAGAGAAAAAGTGTGAGACAATTTGAGCAACGAAGGTGATGCTCCAAGTGAGCGGATATAACGAGCCCTGGGTGGCCCTTTCTTCTTCTTCTTCTTCTTCCTCCTCCTCCTCCTCCTCCTCCCTTTCTTCTCCCTTTTCATTCTTTTCATCTTCCTTCTATTCTTCTTATTCTTCTTCTATTTCTTTACCTGTTATCTCGGAACATTGTCGAAGAAAAACCATATTTATCATCGTTGGATCGTCTAATCTAAACGAAAAAGAAAAAGGAATAATATTAAAGTCATCCTTGACGTCATCGAGAAAAAAGAAGAGAACGAAAAAGAGGTTAGGTTTGAATAACTGTACGAGGATAAGTGAAGATAAAAGAAGAAGAAGAAGAGTGTCAGGTCAAAAATGGCATTCCTGTTGTTGTCGTCGTTGTCATAGGTGTTATCGAGAAAAAAGATAAGAAAAAAAAAAAAGGTTAAGTTCTCTAAATAGGTAAAAGAAAAAGAAAAAGGTGGACTAAAGAGAATAAGAAGAAGAAAAGAAAAAAAAAATATCAAGAAGAAGAAGAAGAAGAAGATAAGAAGATAAATGCCAGGTCAAAAAATGGCGCTGTTGTTGTCCTAGGCGCCATCGAGAACAAAGAAAAAACGTAGAAGAGGTTAGGAAAGAAATAATTGATAAGAAAAAAAACAAGAAAATATAAAAGAAGAAAAGTAAGAAGAGATTAGGATTAAATAGTTGATTAAAAAAAAGAAAAAGAAAATAACAGAAGAAGAAGAAGAAGTAGGCAAAGTATCAAGAAGAAAGAAGAAAAACGGCAGATACCAAAATGGCGCTGTTGTCGTCGTAGGAGGCGCTGATGTCGTTGTAGGCGCCATTGTGAAACAAGAATTGTAACGAAGTAAGAAGTTAGAATCGAATATAGTGTTGGAAAAATAAAAAACAAAACAAGAGAGAATAAAATTATAAAAATAAGGATAAATCAGAAGAAAATAAAAAAAAGAAAAAAGTATTAAGAAGAAGAGATAAAAGGAGAAGAAGAAAAAAACAAACAAACAAAAGAGTGCCAGGTCAAAATGGCGCTCTTGTCATAAGTGGTGATAGGAGGGAGTTATGGTGGTTCGCACATGCAATGACTGTGGCCACAGCAGCCGTGGCAGTGTGGCATCGTGCCAACCTCTACAAGGCAATGGCTTGTGTCGTCCTAGCGCTCATTGCCGTTCAGTATCTTCTCAGTGGGGTACTGGATCGTCGATCAATCGAGACTATTTTCACCATTAATGCTACAAGGTTTGATCATTATTTTACTTATAATTATACACCCCACCCCCTCCCCCCTTTTACCCCTCTTTTTTATTTTTTTATTTTTTTTTTTTTACTTCTTACTCTAAAATGTATGTTAATATCATCAAGTTATTATCTGTTTTTTATTCACGAGATTATTTGTAAATGATTTGAAAGATTAATTTAACATTAATTTAACATCAAGTAGTTTATTAAAATTGAGAATTGCTAAATGTGAGTTGGGTTTTTTTTTTTTTTTGGAATTCCAAATTTTGATGATATATGATAGATATTTATTTTTTTTATTTTATTTTGTAATCTTTTTTTGTAGACCCAAATCTGATAGTTGAAGATAATTATTTAACAATCTTTTGAAAACGTTTAGGTTTAGGTTTTGTTTTGATAAAATTCAAAACTCTGATGACATATAATAGATCACATTTTTTTTAATTTTATTTTGTAATATTTATTTTAGACCAAAACTTAATATTTTCAGATATTTTTCAAAAATCTTTTGAAAGCGTTTAGGTTTAGGTTTTGTTTTGATAAAATTCAAAACTCTGATGACATATAATAGATCACATTTTTTTTAATTTTATTTTGTAAT